GTGAGTCAGTTTGGGTTTCCATTGCAAACACCAATACCAATGAGTTTTTCCTAAATAATACTATACCTAACCCCAAAAATTACTTTAAGATGAGTTCAATCAATCTGAACAGAAGACGTACAAAAAACTACGGAAGGCCCAACATCCATTTAAGCTGTGGCAGTCGTGATATTTGTACTAATTGACGATTTCCTTTGTACATGATTCCGCAGCTGATTTGATTTCCAAATACAATACTTCCAGTTATGGTCACTGTGCGCGCTAAGACTTTGATACTGCTATATACGGGACTCGTAACCATACCAAATTAATTATAACCGATTATCACAACACTTCATACAGCTACCAGGAGCTTCATTTCATAACATTTTAAAATTCAAATACCGAATATATGTACTCTTTTGCAATAAACCACTCAACGAATCAAATTCTTTCTTAGGACGCTGTTAAGTTTGTTAGAAACATTAAGTCAACAGGATTTTAAGCTCCATAAGGAGTTATTAATAGGATTTTATTGATAAACCAGCAGTAATTTACAAGAAAGTCAATGGAAATATATCAGCCACATATAAAATAGGTGTTTGAAATGTTTCTAATTATGATAAAGTAGTGAAAAATAGAAATAGTAATGAACTGTTGACCTTAAAAGCTCATATGTTGAGTATATGGCATAAGCTCCAGGCAGGAACTCCATACCTATGTGGTACATAGTTGCTGAAATAAAGGTCAGAGAGAAATATGAGCAAGAGATTGTAAGTGGTTAACAACTTTCAGCTGTTTGAATAAGAACAGGTGTGTTTGTTCAGTAGGTAAAACTCCAATCGGCTAGTTTAACCAGAATGAAAGGCGGTGGAAAGGTCTACAAACAAGTTATCTAGACAAAGAATGAAGAGACGTGAAGTGAAAGAAAAAAAATCAGTCTAAGTGGCGAGTGAAAAGTTGGTTATCGACTTAGAGAATGAGAAAAAAGACTTAGTCTATAAGTCCAAACACCTTTGTCATTAATATGACGTTTTTCCATCGTTGACCATTCATTTTTTATATCAACTACTAGTCTTTTGATTTCAGAATCAAAGCATGGACATGCCTGCAGTAGGTTATCCTAACAGTATAACATAGCCGACTTAGGGTTAAAAAACATGAGTATGAAACAGCAAACATAGAGTAACATCCCTGATACTACTGAGGGGCTGCTACACTTCCAACCATAAAAAATACAGACGGATGAAATTTACCATTCTTTGAAAGTAGAGTGTAGAGTCATGATGAACAACCAAAAGAGAAGAGGTCTTTTGTTACTAGTTGTTTCTTTTTATTAAAAAGGGGAGGTGGTATTCTTCCTCGTCGATTATTTGTTTTAGTTTCGATGGTATTCTAGGGTGTAGAAGTTTCTATTATACCTCTTTATTTTGGATTTTCAGTCGCAATAACATAGAAATTTTAGTCTTGTGTGTTCTGTGTCTACCATTTATAGAGCTTTCGAAATGCTTATTCTAGAAATCAGTTTTCTTTTATCTGTTGCTTTTAAGCGCTTAAAAGGATTTTCGCGTCGTTCTCTTGGTGAGATCATTTGAAAGTTTGATGACGCAAACAAAACATCGTTGTGGCAGACCCACATGCTTGTTAACGGCTGGAGATGGAATGCAATATGACGACTGCAACGGTTAATATCACAACCCGTGCACCGAACTCACACTGGTTGCATATAAGAAGTACTGAAAGGTACTGTCACGTTGGCCATGCGAAGCATGCTGCTCTACAAAGTCTTCACTGATTCTCGAGGTGACTGACAGCTGGTCAGTAGTCCCAAGATAAACGACCAGCGGCAAATTAGCAGCTGTCAGATGTCAATGATGTAAAGAGCGCCATCGTGAGTCCATTTGCAGATTTGAGCGAAACCATCAAGCTGGGTCCCCATAACGTAGATATCAAATACACAGATGTAGTCATGGTTACAAGGAAAAAGAAAAAGCACGCAACGAATAAGCGAATTACAGAAAGTCTCAGTCAATGTGAGTTGGCCATTTTCCATAAATTGAGAAAACATAGAAGTGAGGCTACTAAAAACATCACTTAATTACCAGTTGTTAGGAATCGTAATCGCCCTAGCTCTATTTCGGTACATTCGAGATCCTATCAGGTATGGCCGACAATACTCATCCACTTCGGACTTAGTCTTCACATACAGTGATGTCGATGAAATAAAGTTCCACCCAAATATAGGGAGAAATGACCATGCGGTCATCCTACTCAATTTTATGGTCCATATTATCTGTCAAGAAGTTGATCCATTCTTTCTGACATATGTCAGGTAGACATGAAGACGATCAACCCTGCAGCCTCAACGGTAAACTGGAATATTGACTTCAAAGCACCAGCATGAGTCATGGACTAATTTTCGACAGTTGTACCATCAAGTGACCGAACCATTTACACACGTACAGCTCAAAAGAATAAATGCAGTCATCCATGGATAAACCGGGAGATTCGACGTTTATTAAGACAAAAAAAATGTTAAAATGTCGCTATTTTTCTTGATACAACACATAAGATGAAACGCTACAAGTCTACCCAAAATAAGTGTATAAACGCAATCGGAAGAAATGAGAGAAAATTCGAGAAACACTTGGCACAATTTGTATTCAGGCAGCTGAGGAGACTGTTGTCGTACATAAATTGCAGAAACATACGGCACAGTTATATTCCCAATCTTAGTACGGAAGGGAGGGCATCTGGAATGACAGAACTATAACAGAACAAATCAGAGGTCATGGAGGACTATTTCGTGAAAGTTTTTTCTAGGAAGACTCCTTAAGATGAAGAACTAGACCCAAGTACTAATTGACAAAACCGGCTAATCTCCATCGACTTTGATCGAAACGACGTACTAAATGCCATTAGCTTATTAGACATAAAAAACATCAACCGGACAAGACAAAGTACACCCAAAAATATACTTATTGCACAGTACATTGCTGCGCCACTGAATACGATGTCCCCTGTTTAAGGATGTCACAAAAGTTCGGAGTTTGAAAACAGCTTTACACATAACACCATTATGATAGAAGCATGTTAACCTAATGAAATCAGAAGTGAAGAGGCTGGAAGACACATTCGATGGGCTATCGATATATTGGGAAGCGTTTGGCCGAAACTAGTCAACAGTTGTAAGGAGTGCGCAGCAAGGTGTACCCACTCGTGATCTGTTGCGTTTACGTGATCGAGCGCTTTCAGCTGGGTGTGTCCAGTAAAACTAACGAGGTCGGCACCAATATCGAAGGCATATAAAACTATCCACTACAGGGATTTAGTTACCGCCACAAACCGAAGCAAACAGTGTTAATATTATTAAGATAAGGAAGACCTTGAATTACGAAAGCTCATTGCATTATTGTGAAGACTATGATGAAAAAACGACATATTGGACCCCAACCTATAGAATGGTAATAGACCGATAGATGCTAGTCTTAAACGACAACTAGCATGATCCATGTATGTCAATCTTTCAGGGCTGTTGGCACTTCCCACGCATTTGAATATCAAAACTATTCTTGATCAAAATGGAATTAAATTTGTTTTTTCATTGTTATTGTTTTTAAGCGCACATTTATAACTGAATAAATCTCGTGAACTTGCTGCAGTAAATAAGCCTGTAACATCGATGGATAGTATAGTTTAGTCGGACTTTCGTATTTTCAAAAAACGATGTATAAAACCTCACATTAGCCGCACGACTCCATCAAACATTTCAGTCTTATCAAAAGTTTCCCAAATGGATTCGATGTTAAAGCCATTGGTAGTACAAGAAATTTTGTTCATTATAATTCCTGACCAATATAAAGCAAAGGGACAAGTCTCTTAACCTTTTTCATATGCTCCAGCATAAATGTTTACGATTATTCCAAGCGCTTTATAACATGATTGGCAAACTGCTTTTAGACCTCCAACAACAGAAACGAGTCACTTTAGATGAGAAGCATCCAAACTTCGATTGAGCTAGTTGAATTCACAGTTCTTGTGTCTTCGTCATAACGACTTACTACAGGCAGATTAGACCACCGCCACCAAATTAGCATATTACCGGTTAGATATGTAAGTTTTTAACCACAAATTCTTATCTAATTTACTGAACATCGGTTATTTCGAAGAATCATTATTCAGCTATACTCCTAGCACCAATCTTATTGATGAGCAACATAGACACTTTACTTTCTTAATTTGAATAAATTTCACCGAACGAAGTTTTCATTTTCATCTCACCTAAGTAAACAAATGTCCTTAGTAGATATCGAGTAAAAGTTATACAGAGATTACTATAATCTACAGCTGCATTTTCAGTATGATCTGGTGATAAGTGAATAAGTCAAAGTATATGAAAACGCGCTTCAGTCCTGCCCAACAAGAGCGAGATAGACAGAGTCTCTAGATGATGGAAAATAAGTCAATGTTGTTCATATAAACTTCATCAGAGCACTTGGTATGGTGCCCATTAACAGACTTCTCATGAAGCTGGAAAATATAGTAATAGCTGAACCTCTCCTAAAGTGAATTTCTTAGTAGGCCGTGGATAGATATCAACAGAAATATCCGACTGTTCCTCCTAGAAACCAGTACTTAGTGGAGTACGCCAAAATTCTGTCATTGGCATTTTACGTCTTAATCTGTATGTAAATGGGTTCCCTTACGCTATTCTATGCTAATATGTGAAAAAAATTTGCGGAATACTACAGGAGGCACAGAAGCATATTCAATTTAAATGGGCTCAGATGTTTTGATTAGCTGTTCTTAAAAAATGGCTTATGCTTATCAACATTAGGGATAAAAAGTTAAATCAGCTCAGTATAGTGAAAAAGTCAGTCCCCGTGGTTCGGTCTAGCAATGATGTTGGGGTAACAGTGAGGCATGACCTTAAAACTACGACACATTTACCGTGCCGTGATCAAATGTCAATTCCAGTTTGAGTAGTCTTGGCTCCGTATTGTTATCCAAGGCTGGCGGTCAAGCACACAGACGACCTTGGACTGATGCTTAGCCAAGTTCGGATTATACCACAAAACACTGAGGTGTCAAAGTACGTTATGTTAAGTGATTAATATCAGAGATACCATAGTGTAAAGGCAATGTAGCGAATATACATTGATTTTAGACAGGGAACTTTTTCAGCTATCACATCCACTATCTACAACAGGTGGTTTGGGATGTTCACCCCCAACTCGATGTGGACGGTCATTGGGACTTCTTACTGCACATGCTCTTACGTGCTACAAACCATTCAGTTCCTCAAACGGTTCCGAAAAGCTGAGAGCCACCTACAATAATCAAGAACCGTACCCTTTGTCTGCTAAGCCGCAAAAGGCGCTGTTGGGCGGAATAAAAACGAACTGACAATGACGGAGCGTACAGGCAATACAAACATATAAGGAACATATGCACGAAGGCTATAAGAGAAGACAGGCTTCAGTACCAGATAAAGCTTATGGATAAATTTGTCTCTAATCTGAAAAGCTTATTTCGTTATGCAGCCTCCTCGTCAAGCCAAAACTGGAGTTTCCCAACTGCTAGGTCCTAATGGCCCGACCAACAACGATGGCGACGCCGCCAACCTTCTGGCTGAACACTACTTCCAGATATTTCAACCGACCGACATCAACTTTACTGACGACAGTTTCATCTGCAATTCAACAGGACTTTCCGAAGTGAACTTAAGCGCTGACTTGGTGTTCCGGAAACTGCACGCCGCTTAGCGTGATGTTCTCACACTCGCTAAGTCGAGGAAAACTACCGGAAAAATGGAAACTGGCTCACATCACACCAATTTTCCAAGGAGGTCGACGCAGCGAACCTTCAAGTTACTGACCGATGTCTCTTCTCTCAGTACCTTCAAAAATCATAGAGTCCCTAATATGCGAATGTATAAATGACTATTTACTGTCCTTAAATTTCTTCTCACCCCAACAGCATGGTTTCAGGAAGGGTTACTCTTGTATTACCAACCTGCTGACTGCGGTGGACAGATGGACAAGCAGGGGAAGGTTGATATCATCTACCTAGATTTCTCAAAAGCTTTTGGTAAGGTTAACCATACATGTCTTATCAACAAGCTCAAACGATTGGGTATCAGACCACCTCTAATCGATTGGCTCACTTCATACCTGAGAAATCTACCCTTTAAGGTCGGGGTTAATTTCACTTTATCTCAGGCTATGGAATGTCCTAGTGGGGTCCCCTAGGGCTCTTCTTGATCTACATAAATGATCTTCCTCAACAGATAACGTCAGACTTATTACTTTTTGCCGACGACGTAAAAATTTGGAGAGAGATACGTAACCAAGACGATATACAGGCACTTCAGGAGGATCTGACAGCTTCAAAGTGTAAAGTAGTCCATCTGCGACATGTTGCAGACTACGGTTATAACTTAAGAAACTCCCCTTTAGTAATATCCCGAGTCGAAAAAGATCTAGGAGTCCTGGTGCCCTACGATTCAAAGTCTTACGCTAACTGTGACAAAAATGCCTTTCACTGATAACACTGCAGCGCATTCTGGTCAGTTTGACGGAAGAACTTTTAATATAATCTTCAATAGTTTTATCCGTCCCCATTTAGAGTACGGAAACATAGTATTTCCCCCTCACTCCAAAAGGATAAGGACACCCTGGAGTGTATCCAACGGCGAGCCACGAAATCAGTCCGAGGACTCAAATTTAAACCTTACGAAGAGCGCCTCCATTCACTTGACCTTTACCCATTAGAGTATAGACGTCTTCGAGGTGACCTGGTGGCTTATAGCATCCTTAACACTTCTGGACATCCTCTCAAACACCTACTTAAGCTTAGTTCGAACACTAACCTAAGAGGTAACACCCAAAAACTGGAGACAATATGGTAGAACGGACTGTAGACACAACTTCTACTCCTTAAGAGTTGTCAAATTCTGGAATTCGCTGCCGGCCGAGCTAGTCCAAGCGACTTCTCAGGAGTTCTTTAAGAGGCAACTTGATCTATTCTTAAGGATTAAGGATAGTATCACACTATGATTTACTAATTTCTTTTCCTCTTTTATTGTTAACATACCTAGGTTCCTGCCTGGAGGATTTGGTGATCCCTTGCTACTAGACACGGAAGCCTGTTAAGCGAAAGCTTCTTCTATTCTGTCCACAACCATTTGAACCATTTGAACTTTCGTCTGAATCCAGGACTTTGACATTATAAGATGATTTTCATATTGATTTGTAACCCGAATATCCGCTTGTATTGAGGTGTTAGGATGTGTTTTTAGACGACAATAGCTGCAGACAATTGACTGAATAAGGCAACGCTTGTTTACTTTTAGTACGTATATGTATGTTTCTGAACCTGTTATTGTCGTGCGTTAACTTGGGCATGATGGATTTGTTAGCTTTCAAACGGATATTTGTTTCAAGTTTTTAGAAGCTAATTGAGTGATAATAAGTTGTTTGATTGCAATAATGATTGTTCGTACTGATTCTATGTAGCCCTCAGGTTGGTGGATGCATGACTGCGAAATATTTGTTTAGTCCATAACTTTGTTGCTGTAAGGAACTGAAGGTTTGTTTATTGTCTTTTCTAATACAAATTGGAACGTAATGTAGGGATGCATTTGAGTTTCACACTAAACATTTGCGTTTGTTTTCTAATAATTTTGTCTGCGTTACATATTACGCAGATAAATGTTTGAAAAGAAAAGTTCATTAACATCTCATAATGTCTCTTTTTATCATTTAGGACCACTACATACGTGTAGAAAATGTCCCATAACTGGCTAGTTTAACGATTTTGAATGCCCATTTCTGATTCTACATTTTGTGTCAATTCCCAACACAAACTTTTAACTGTTTACACAGATTCAGCTCCGAATTCTCTCTCAGAACTTAATTGTCCTAATGTATTGGACTCAATTGGTGCCTTTGACCATGAAGGTAAAAGTAGTCGCATCTCTAATTCGGAAGCTGTTGGTAATTCTTTCGTCACTTTTGAGGTTTCTGAGACCGAAACATGTGCAAGCAATTTATCAGACGACTTTCAAACAGTTCCAGAATATTCATTGCATAATGAGGTTTACGTACCAGCAACGTTTCCTAGTACGTTGTGTCGTTATACAGATCAGATAAACACAGATAATTATGGAGATATTGTTACTCAGAATTTGTTATGGCTAGCTGAGGAAGCTGTACATGCACCTCTTGATGTTATGACGGAAATTCCCCAGGATACAAACCTCATGTCTAATGTGCACCCGAATTATAAAGCAGATAGTATTTTAGAAAGTCATCTTTATGTCACCCTTCCACCTCATTCAGAAATCCTCGGAGCTTCACAACCATATTACAGCTTCCAGGAAGAAAACACTACTGATAATGGACAGAGTTCTCAGCAGATCCATATGTATGTCGATAACACAGCCCAAACCTTTTCATCAGAATTGGAAGTAACTTCAGATTTAGTTCATGTAAGCGGTTTCACCAGTGAGTCAAAAGACAACACAATGTCGTGGCCAAACTCTTCTAGTGAAAGCTATTCCTATAATTCTCACTACTTCAAAGGTGTTCCCAATTTTTCCATGAACTCATCTCTATGTATTCATACCGTGGAACCACACGGAGCCAGTGGAGAAAGTTACGTGAATGGTTTTACTGTATACCAAGGCCCTTCGAGCTCCGATGAACTACTTGATCAGACTTTTGAATATCCAGTCTGTGATTTCTTTCCCACGGACGGTCATAGTTATACTTCCTACGACCATTCTAAACCATCTTACTATAATTCTTTTTCCGAAGGATTTAGTAGCGCCATAGTTTATCCAGATTGTGATCCAAACGGTTATGAAAGTGAACAGCATGATAGTATAGTCGTCTCCAGCTTTCCAGACTCGTTGGTCACACAAGGTAATACCTATGTTTCCGCGTATTTAATTCCTGATCAAAATTGCGATTTTCGTTTAAAGCAGTCAAACAGCTATCCGGATTCTACGGTACACGTTCCTTTCTGTACAGCATATGAAACAAATGCAAATAGTTTTCAATACAGTAACTCAGTCCAGTGTACACATGCATTTGAATTGCCTTCGGTAAGTTTTTTTGTGATCAACTGTTTCATTGTTTCTTTAAAGTGATCACTAATTAAAGTAAGGTAAAATACTTCAGTCTTGCTATTGATTGTAGATTAGTGTTAAATTCGGGAACCAAAAACTTGTCAATAGAAAACGTTCATGTTGGGACAACAGCGCATAGCTGTTTTAATCTTATTATCATTATTATTATTTTTGATATAACCTAGTCATCCATGGCATTGTTATATTTTTGGGAAGTTGCGTATCATTTACTAGGTTTGTGCACTTGCGTTTAAGCCACACACTGGGCAGTTAAATATTATCTATAAATCTTATCCAAATCAAGTGGAGCGGATTTTGGGTCTGTTTCCTGCTGGTCCAGTGATAGATGAGACTTTTCGGGCACATATCCTTGGAACCTATCTATGTGTTGTTTCGATCGTACTCATATTTTTTTCAAAGATTTTTCTGTATCCAGTTTGATGTAACTGTTCTGAATAAACTTAAGGAACTAGCTCAATAAACACTGAGGTGTGACAAGAACATTTATTTTAATGTAAATTGGCGTCGCATTTACTTTGCCGTGATGTCCTTGATTGGGACCGAAGTATCGAAATAAAGTTTGGAACGTAGTAAATTTTTGTGCTATTTCCTTTAACAAGTTCAACTGGTTTTGAACTAAAGTACTAACTTTGCAATGACTATTAACGGTGGATGCGAACAAAAGTAAATTGGGTATGGTATCAGTCATCTATTTGTGATTACCAAAGAAGCTAACGTAAATGAGGTCAGTCTAATTTCCACTAAGGAAAGTAGGTCATTAATCACTAAGTAGAATATTTCCAGCTTTCTCTGGCGTGAAATTATTCACATTTCCTCTGTTTATTCAACAAAGTAAGTGCAATTTAGACAATAATCTGCGTTTCATCAAACTGTATATTTACATGGAGCAAGAAATAGGCGATTTTAGTGAGCTATGTTTACTAGTTTCAGTTTAGCATTAATAGGTGGAACTCTTGACACTTTCTTAGGATTACTGCTGGTTCAAACCCGGAAAAAAGAGAAGGGTTAGGGAGTCAGTCTTTTGGTAGCACTCAACAACAATGTCAGAATGTTTGGGATGCGTTTCTCCCCCTCTAAATGCAAGTTGTTGCTCCATGACTGGCCTGTGTCAACATCTAAACTAAGGATAGGGAGTGACGTAGTCGAACGCATCGACAACTCCACTTCTCTTGGAAGTCTGATCAGCCATGATGGGTTGGCGTCTGACAAAATCTCTGCACGGATTCAGAAAGCTCGTTTGACTTTTTCCAACCTACGTCACCTATGGCAAATGCGAGATATCCGTCTATCAATAAAAGGACGAGTATACTGTGTGGCAGTTTGTTCTGTTTTACTTAACGGCTGCGAAACGTGGCTATTAAGAGTAGAAGATACCCGTAAGCTACTGGTATTCGACAACAGACGTCTTGGAAATATCGCTTGTATATACTGCGATCACCGAGTAAGTAATAGTGAGGTTAGACGCAGGGTATTAGAAAATAATGGTTAATCAGTTGATGAGTTTGTGAATCTTCATCGACTGAGATGGTTAGGTCACTTGTTGCGTATGCCTGAACACCGCTTAACATGGCATGCAATGTTAACAGGTGTTGGGGGTGGTTGAAGAAAGTTAGGGGCGGCCAAACCAAAACGTGGTATCAGTGCTTGAAGTCACTAACTTCTAGTCTGAGCCATGTTGATAGATGCAGACTACTTGGTTGGGGTGTGCGTGACTATCGTAACCAATGGTTAGAGACTCTGAGTGACATCGCTCAGAATCGATCACAATGGCGTAGGTGTGCCATCCTGTTGAAAAAAACCTTTGTAAGAGACGCTAACCACAAAAAATCATTTTAACTCTTCATACTCTGCCCTGAGGATCAAAGAGTCTTCATAGAAGTTATGATGCCTCACAGTGAAAGCCGAGATTCATCATGAGGCTGGTGCCCTTTCTGACGACGATACATGGAATGTCTGGAAAATATAGGAGACCGGAAGCACCATTTAAATAACTGCGGAAGTGATAAATTGTAGTCTGTCAGTACCTGGAATGAGGGAAACCCATTGGATGCAATCTAGACAGAAAAAAACTAGCGTAAGGAGAGGTGTTATTGTACACAAGTATTTACACCGATGTACTCCAAAGAAGCACGAAGACCGCCTGTAGGCTGGGAACTTCATGAATCTAGGATCACCAAAGCACCATTCAGAACACAGAGGCAGTGACCTACAATGAATTCCATCCAGTGCTACTAGCACGCCAATCATAGGAGTAAGGATTGATCGTGCACCGACCGAACTGCGACATTACAGATCATTGTTGAGCAGTCGGTTGAATGGAACTCATCATACATCAAATTCCTTGACAGCGTGAATAGGAGAACCTTGTTGAATCTTCGACACTATGGAGTAACTGAGAAAACCGTCACCATCATACGAAACTCTTAAGACGGACTACATTGCAAAGTCGTGCATAGAAGACTGATGACAGACGCATTCCTAGTGAAGACCGGAGTCAGACAAGGCTGCTTACTCTCCCCCTTTCTCTTTCTTCTGGTTGTCGACTGGATTATGAAGATCGTCGAATCTGAGGGGAAGCACGGAATACAGTGGACAGCTTACATGCAACCAGACCATTTAGACTTCACAGACGATCTAGCTCTTCCTCCCATACACACCAACAAATGCAGATGAAGACAACCAATGTAGCAGCAGCCTCAACATACAGAATGTAAAACCAATATCCTCAAATATAACACGGGGAACACCAACCTAATCACACCTGATGGAGAAACTCTGCAAGAGCTGGGAGCTTTAACATACCTGATCAGCATCATTGATAAACAAGGTGGATGTAATGCAGGGGTGAAAGCACGGATTTACAAAGCAAGGTCAGCACTCCTACAACTGAAGAATATCTAGGACTCATAACAATTGTCAGCCAACATTAAAGTCAAAATTTGCAATACAGATGTTAAGACGGTTTGTTATACGGAGCTCAGTCAGTCAGTAAGAACGTAGAACTACATACGTTCGTACATCAGTTCGAGTCGTCATACCACATTAGCACACAGATACAATTGTCGATTCAAATCCCATTGTGGTAAAGGTAGTAAGAGTATAAGCAGCAATTGGAAAGATTAGCATTTGAAGATTTTATTCAATGAGTATAATCCAGTGAAATAAATTTAGAAAGAAAACAAGGGACATGAAGAATTCAGAAGATTAGAATTTGGGAGAACACAAAGAGTGGATGCACTTGCACCATTGCAAACAATTTTGAGCCATGTCATCCAGGGTCTCTAACCATCGGTCGCCATCATCTCGCGGTCCCCAACCAGGTAGTCTATACATACCAACATGGCTCAGTCCACTTGTCAGTGACTTCATGGATTTGTACCATGTTTTGGTCTGGCCACCCCTAGCTTTTTTCCAACCTGCTCCTACACGATGAAACATCGCACGTCAAGGCAGTCGGTGGTTGGGCATACGTAACACGTCCCAGCCATCTCAACTGATGAAGTTTCACCACTTCATCAATCGATTTGCCATCCTTACCTAGTACTCGTTTCCTAACAACTGTGTTACTTACTCGATGGCCCTAGGATATACGAGCAATGTTTCGACGACATCTACGATCGAATACTAGTAACCTACGAATATCCTCTTCTCTTACCGGCCACGTTTCACTGCCATAAAGTAGGACGGAACGAACTGCTGCGCAGTAAACACGTCCTTTGGTTGATAGACGGATATCTCGCTAACGCCATAAATGACGCAAGTTGGCAAAAGCTAGTCGAGCCTTCTGTATCCGTGCTGAGATTTCGTCACACACTAGACCACAAAGGCTGATGAGACTCCCAAGATAAGTGAAGTGGTTGACACGCTCAACTACTTCACTCCCTATCATTAGTTCGGGTGTCGATGCAACCCAATCCTGAAGCAACATTTTGTATTTCGAGGGGGAGAATCGCATCCCGAACATGCTTGCATTGTTGTTTAGAGTGGCCAGAAGACTGCATTTTTGTCAGCGTCTTCACCAAATAGAACAATGTCATCGGCATATTCTAGGTCAAAAAGTGAATCTCCCGGTAGAAGTTCAACCCCTGGAAATTTAGATGAGAAGAGTGTTATCTCTAAAAGCACGTCAACGACAAAGTTAAACAAGAATGGAGAGTGGACAGCCCTGACGAACACCACTTGAGGTAATCAATTCTGATGACAGTTCGCCATAAGCTCTCACTCGACTAGTTGTGTTCGAGTAGAGAGCCTTTACAAGGTTAATGTACTTCTTTGGTACTCCTTTCAGTGACAAACACTGCCATAGAACCTCACGATCACCAGAGTCGAATGCCGTCTTAAGGTCGAGAAATAATACGATTGTGGGGCGTCTGAATGTGTGCCTGTGTTCTAGAACCTGACGTAGTGTGAATATCTGGTCTATACAACCACGTCCAGGTCGAAAACCAGCCTGATTTTCTCTAGTCTGTTCTTCACGAGCTTTGGTTAGGCGTCGAAGTATTATTGAAGCTAATATTTTAGACACTATATTAGTCAAACTGATTCCTCTGTGATTGTCACAAGAGGACTGTTGTCCTTTCTTATAGACTGGCACAATCAGTGATTGAGACCAGTCAGATGGGATTACGTCCAGTTCCCAGATTCCACCTAAGACCTCAGTCAATCTCACTGCTAATACTGGACCGCCATCCTTAAAAACCTCAGGGGTAAACCTGTCAGGGCCTGCTGCTCTCCCGCGCTTCAGATTTCCTATAGCTTTTTCAACTTCGTAAGGAGTCGGAGGACTTACATCAACTTACCATCCAAGTTGACTGGAGACCGTGGGAAACCGAAGTGTGGCTGAAGGCCAGTTGAACTGATCCCTAAAGTGTTCTGCCCATCGATCCAATATCCTGTATTGAGAATGTATAATATGTCCATCTTTCTCTGAGATTGATTCGCTAACAGTCGGGTTC